AGAGGAACACGGTGACAATTACTGAGGGGAATAAAAGCGTACGAGTCAGGTGTAGGCGGGAAATAACAATACATCAGCTGCTCATAAGAAAGTTTTGACCTGAGCTTAAAGGGTTTGGCTAGTCCCTGGTCGTTGTGGACCAAGTAATTTGTTGACAGTGGAGTAATGTTCACTACTCCTGTGAGTCATAGTCCCCCCCCCCCCTCTTTCTCAACATATAGCTCATGTACATGCCACTCCATCCGTTCTAGAACTTCTACAATAGATCGACACTTGAGCAGAGTGTGCGCATGTGTCATGATGCCCATACAACCATTGATCAACCATTAACCGTACACTTCCTTCAAACGAATTTTCCAAAGGGGAAAGTATTCCTTCCATTGCATTTCCAAACGAATATCAATCAAATCACCGAATATTCCTTGCGACCATAATCACACACATCCAGTATACGCTAGAGTTTCGTCCAGCTTTCGTCAAGCAAGCGAGCAGAGACAGTAATACTATAACGGCGGGACAGGTTTGGAAGTTTCGGCTTCCCAGCTGACATAAACTGTTCGTGCGTGTGTTGGAGAAGAGGAAAAAAGGTTCATACAATGAACATGTACACGAAGATCGTGCCGCCATTATAATTATTATTATTTGAGGGATTCCCCAAAGGCCGAAGCCTAAATCAAGGGGGTCTCCGAGAATAAATATACGTGTACAATGCGTGTACAATAGCGTGCAATTCTTAAAAGGAAGAAAAATATTAAGATAAAAAAAGATTAATGTGAAGAGGTTAAATAAGAAGTCTGAGTAGAAGCAAGCGAAGAGGGTACTGGTAAAGAAGGGGGGTAATCAGGAAGTGAGAAAGTGAGATCATTACACCGCTTGTTGTCGCCTGTGAACAACTTCAAAAAAGAAAAAAGAACTTTGTACCAGTAGTACAGTGCAATGGGACAGCAGTCATCATGGTCCACTTTCACAACAATAACACACACAGAAGTCTCTGCTGTGTGCACGGTGGCTCGGCAATGGCATATGTTCAAGTTACCCACAAAGGCACCAGCTTTCCAACTCTCTTTGGCCGTTGGAAAGCGGACCGGATCATAAAAACACTAAACTCATTCCCGAGTGCTATTGCCATGGGCACGGAACTGCGGGCGGTGTGTGGGTGCAGCTGCAAAGCAAGGTGACAAACGTCGGCCTCTCCGAAGTGGTTCAACAAACTGCCAGCTGCACCTGGTGCACCATGCGCGACCATTTCCAGGCGTTGTACAGCGAAACCGTCAATACTGCATTTTCACAGGATCTTCTAGTACTGTAATATTACAGGGTTATGGTGGTTGCACATGTTTTGCGTCTAACAGTTTATGCAATCAGTTGTGCTCAGCTGACACAAGTAAGTGTAGATCTACATGTACGTGTGGGAACTGGGCCATGGGGCTTCCTCACTCGCGGGCTCTCTCTCTCTCTCTCTTGCTGCTCAGACGAGCTATACAACTACTAGGGAGAGCGCATGTTGAGTCTCAAGTGGCCAGAAGAGCAACATGCATAGCAGCATGCATGCTTCTTCCTACACTGAAACGTCAATGGTAGAGTGCAGCACAGGACACACCTACAGGCGTAGCTGCACCTACAATCCACACGCACAACGGCTTCGCACCTTGGCTTGGGGACCGGACCACGGTGCAGAATGAGGTCCGCGTCTGCACCATCCGCACAGGTCTAGCGTTGGCTGCCCATTTTTGTGCTGTAACACGTGCACAGCCACAACAATGACGATAGCGGTAGTGGCGGTGCTTGAACTGCTTCTTTTAGCTTTACGACCACGATTGCATGTACATTTATTACGCTTGATTCAGCGTCTGTCCCTGGCAGGTCCATAGATATTCTTAGAGCGGCTGATAGCTCCTGTGCAAGTCGAACCTGACTTGACCGGCTCAGCACCCCGGGGAGGCCGAATATGCACAATACATTGAGCATGATTCAGAGAGGAGCTAGGAGGGCGACATTTTGCTGAATTTGCCCGATCCGGAACAACCCGGGCACATAGATCAGGCTGACACGATCAGGTGGTATTGTGGCAGCTGCGACTCAGTCATTGCTTCTCATATCCACAAGCTTCTCTCGTGTTCCTGTTTACACAGAGTGCGCTCTCCCTCTCTCGCACTCGCAGACGTTCTGTTTTCTTGCTGTGGACTTCGCGTCCAAAAAAACCCTCAAGGCGGCCAAGCCTGTCACGGACAGATCTGGACAAGCTGTCAAGAAACCCGGAGTAGAACGGATCCTTGCAGTGTAGTGGTCAGTACCTCGCACATGGGATCTGTCGTCCTTTGAGTTCCGCTCAGTCAAGGCGCGAGAGGGAAGCGTATGTAAGGACGGTAGCTGCCAGATCAGACTAGGCCCTGCAAAGCAGTTTGTTCGCGCGTGCGGTACGTGTGAAATCGACATACAGGTATAGACAAGGTGAGCGGGTTCACGTCTGTGGCTGCTGCGAGAAGCTGAACATCAATGATTTGTTGATTCTAACCTGTTTTTGTGTGTACGTGTGTTTATGTGTGTACGTAATCTGCTCATGCTAGCAAAAACTCCGGTGACAGCAGTCGAGCGGAAGATATCGGACATATTCACCTTCGTGTAAAATCGGAGTTTCTCGCATTGCCAACCGTGACACGCGTTCCAAAGTCTCTTCGGAACTAGCTTCGCAAGTGCCTTGGGGAAGTGTCACCCCACACACCCGGTCGACTCAATAGTAGTCCGCAAAATCCCAACGGGCGGCGTGCAGCGCCCAGGTTTCCATCACGATCGATGCATAATGGCATTTACGGGAACGCCACCAGCAAACCCACCAGTGCTAGTAGCGGGTGTGAAAAGGACAAGCACGGTCTCCGCGTACGGAAAGGGTTCTGGCAGCGGAGGTGGTACGACCTGCATCGCTGCAAGTAATTGCAGGCCTTCAGCTAATGATACCAGCAGTACTCCTGTGAATCCCATCGACGTCGGTCACACCAGCTTCACCACCATCAGCAGCAGCAGACCTGAAACGTCGTATGATCAAGGAGCGAGTAGCAGCAGCTCGATCGGTGCCCCGTCATACCACAAGGCAGACGAGACCGCAGCTGCTCAGGCAATGTTAGAACTTGTGTACACGTCGCCTCCCTCACTCGACAGCAGCACGCAAGCAAGCCCAGTGGGTAAAACTCCTACAGACGACGAAGCCAAAGAAAACAACAGCAGCCCATCAGCAGCTTCAGAAATGATCCGACACGCCAACGCGCCCCAAGGGAGCTGGACTCCCTACGCGAACGTCACCACAAATGGCGTTGGACTTGTGGGCAACCAACCGGGCATCATGGGAACACCGGAGCAGATGCAACAGGGCAACGGGGCTTGGCAGGCGGCGGCACCCGCGGGCGGCCGGCCAGTCACTGCCATGTCGGACAGCGACGAAAGCGACAGCGAAGAGGAGGAAGAAGACGAAGGAGAACTGACCGGGGCCAACCTTACCGACATGGACCGCGAAAAAGTTAAACAGCAAACCATCAAGAGCATGAAGAAGAAGCGCAACAGACGCGAGAGATTGCGCTGGAGAAAGATAAGGCGGGGTTTCAACAAACTGCGCGAAAATCTTCCTCGCGGTGAGTTCGAGGAGTTGTCCCAGCTGGTCACGTTGCGACGCGCCTGCCGCTACATACCGTACTTGGCGAGACTGGCGTCCACCGGGCAAGATGACCCAGAGCTGGCAGCCAGCGTTTGCGAGGAGATGGACGACCATTCGCTCTACTCTCTAGCGAATCGCACCGGAGCGGGTTCTGGGCAGCAGCAGCAGCAGCAACGGCAAGCACATCAGCAGCAGCAGCAGACGGCCACAACACCAAGCGGGCCCCATCCAGTGGTAGTCACAGCTTCAAGAGCAGCAGCAGCAGCAGCGCTAGCAGTGCCTGTGGGGCCGAGTCCAATGCAGACACAATATCATCATCCGCAAATGCAGCACAAAGACCCCGGCGGACCTCCAGGTAAGTCAACGTCATGTGTATCGGCTCCTCATATTGACGTTAGCTGTTCTAATACGTTGTTGCCTGTACATAGGACACACCGTTTTTTAACTTGTTGTACGCCAAATATTTGTGATTTGGGTTGAACGAAATGGCCTCAACGAAGCTTAAAAATTGGGTAATGTTATAGTTGAAGTTTTCAACCTTGAAATTATTATCGCGAGGTGCAAATCGAGGCTAGCTGTATGCTATGCTTGGCAAGGCTTGCCACTGGGGATCATTTCGGGTAGTCGGGAAGCACACGGGTATGTTTTGAAGTCGTTCCTGGACAACGTCTCTCTCTCTCTCTCTCTCTCCCTCTCTCTCTCCCTCCCTCCCTCTGTCGTTCGCATTTTATCAAAGGTGGCGAAACCATCTGTTTGTGATGCGACGTTAAAACAATTTCAACAACAATTAAGAGGAGCACCAGAGGATAAAAGCTATTTAGATATAGCCTTTGAAAAGATCCACACTAGAAGTTTGCAAGCACAAGCTGTTACCAAGGACTTCAGTGGCTTTGCGTTGATCTTATGATCCGTGACAGCATTTTTGGATGGAGAAGATTGCAGCTGGCTGGCAGTTTAACTGTAGAAATGGAGATTGCCATGCATGTGTGCAGGTGTTCTTGGTTGTTATCAGCATGGCAATCTCCTGCCAAACCCGGTCACTGGCAGTCTGTGTCGCTTGCTGGCCTAGGCTGTCACCCCCCCCCCCCCCCCGTTATAAACTATTAATTTGGGTATGCTGTATTGTGCCCAATGGGATGGTACATTGCATACAGCACTAGCGGTATGGGCATGCACAGTGAGGATATGGTGGGTCAGTTCTGTCTGCATACAGTGTGGCTGCTGGACTGAAATCACCTCCCAGAGTCAATGCGTGTGTAGTGCACAGCCGGGGTCTAGAGCTAATAGTACTGGTGCTCCAGGTCTTCAGGTCAGCAGGTGTCCAGTGGATGAGGATTCAAGTGCCTACTTGCCACCACCCAATAAACACTGCATCCGATGCTGCTGCTGGCTTTGCTGTCACATTGACCCATGGCATTGACTGGGGAAGTTTTTTTAACGACATTCTACTTTCCCCACACACCCAATGCCAAGGCTGAATGTTTCAGAGAAGGCTCTCCAACTGAGTATCTGGCCTTGGTCAGCTGCTGCCGGAATGTCAAAAATATTGTTTAGGGGACAGGCTGAGTCGGGCCACTGAAAATCCCGGACCTTGGCTAGGTTGACTGCTGTGAGCACAATGGAAGGGTATAGAAATAAATATTATAGTTATGCTGATTTGGCTCTTGCTGCTCCTCCCCCCCCCCCCTAGTGCAGTACAGTTAAAGTGCCGTGGGCCCCTGGTGTGTGAGAGCTGGCCACTGTATTGGTAAAGGCCAGATGCAGTGTTGTTCACGCTCAGATCTGTGCCTAGTAGTAAACACACAAGTTCCTGGGTAGCATATGGTTGTGAACTGTTCGAGTGCTTGGACTTGAGAAGTTCCCTTTACAAGTGTATCTACATCATTATCCCCCCCCCCCCCCCCCCCCCCCCGTGTTGCATACTCAAGCCGTGGCCCTGATGGGTTGCTTTGGATCCCTGGAACAGCACCTGCCCGGATGTCTTTGTGCACAGAGAAAGAGTGAGAGAGAGAGAGAGAGAGAGTGTGTGTGTGTGTGTGTGTGTGTGTGTGTGTGTGTGTGTGTGTGTGTGCGTGCGTGTGTGTGTGTGTGCATGTGCATTTCATGCGGCTGCAGCAGCTGAGACCCCTTGCCATGCCAGGCACTTGGCACAAGACAGGGTTGGTTGCCGGTAACTATTCTCCTGGCCTGGGATAGTAATTGCTGAGAGGGCATGGGGTGGGTGTGTGGCATACCGGGTAGAATGGAGGGCAGAATGCCGCCGTGCCTCACTCAGGTTGGTCAAGTAGGACATCCTGTTGCGGTGCACTCCTGGCCTGTATGGTGGCTTCACAACATAGCATTGGCATGGTAATAGACATGTGATAGTACGCACAATCCTGAGCATTTACACTGTAGGAGTAATGGCAGCCATTCATTCAAAACGCACTGTACCAGCCACTGTACCAGCCACTGTACCAGCCACTGTACCAGGTTCAACATTGTAAGGGGGGGGGGGGGGGCATACCTCTTACTGGTCACAAACAGACAGGCATAGAAGCAGTGATGACAGCACTTGCATGGAATGCAGGATGGTTGCATTGTGGCCAGCCCAGTCATCATCTGCACCGCCATGCACCAATCCAAATCACTGCAAGCAAGCAGATAAGTGCTCCAGTGATGAGTGTGAATTGCAAGTTTCAGCATCAAGTGCTTGACAAGTGGCTGACAGGCAATACAAGCCAATGCTTGGCGCATTCACAGCGTGCAAGCCTTGGACATACATGTAGTGTTAGAATGTGGCAGTATGTGTTGTGTTGGACATACTGCTATGACATGTAGCACTGTGTGTGTGTGTGTGTGTGTGTGTGTGTGTGTGTGTGTGTGTGTGTGTGTGTGTGTGTGTGTGTGTGTGTGTGTGTGTGTGTTGTATTGGATCAGTTTTGTGTTAAAACATGTAGCAGTGTGTGTTGTATTGGCCTAGTGTTATAACACTGATCAGTGTGCGTAGCATTGGACATACACGTACAATGCAGTGTTATCAGAGATTACGAGAACTTTACTCATATGTTGGTAAACACGCACCTGGCAATATGGCGGTAAATACATGCCGGAGAGTAATATACAACAGGAAGAAAAGGAGATAAAATGTCTGTGAATACAGTCTGTAAATGTAGTGTTGTCATGCAGCAGTGTGTGTAAGTAGATTGTGTTGGACATAGGTAGTCACTGTAGGGCTTGTGTATAGCTCTCTACAGGCTAGAGTTGTTTTGACCTTTTTAATGATTACCTTAACCAACAACGGTTTAAGAACGGTTTTGGTCGGTTCGTGAATGTTTACCTGCACCACAGTGGTTCTTCTCTGAGGGACACAGCTGCGAGCTTTGCTTTGCGTGGGCGCTGCCCGGGTGATAGCTTCTCAAAGGTGTCAGGGCCGATCTAGTGTGGCGTGACCACTTGTAAACGTGTGTAGGTACGTGCTCCGAGTGGCCCCGGTGTGAAGTCAATTTCCTCTGCCAGTCTGCAACTGGACATTGCAGTGGTGGACGCAGAGCTGATAACCACAAGCACACTTTGTCACAGCCGGTGCCAGGGAAGCAGTTGGGCAGCGGAAGGCACCGGTACGCTCTCTCACCTCCTGCCCTCCTGGCCGGGCCTGGCTCTGTGAATGGTGCGGGAACTGTCGGTACTTCTGCTGCTACATATGTCCAGTTGCTGAGAGTTCCAACGGACAGACGTACACAGACTGGTAACACTTCGCCGGATGCCAACGTGTGGACAGACATCGGGTAGCCAATCGTGGAGCTGGAATCAATGCACGTAATGGGATAAACCTGGGAAACCAAAACCTGGAACAGTGCAAAGCACGTACCTGGCTGGCGTTTGTCTGTGATCGTGAAAGCTGGATGAAAGCATGCATTTCAGGGTGGGCATCTGAACAGGCATGCTGATCTGCTTGTAAAGTATAATGGCAGTGGTGTGTGTGGCATTTAGTCTGTGCAACGTGGGTGGATGGCCGGTACACACACAGACTTGAATCATCTGCTGTTAGTTTCCTGATCTGGCCATGGGATCAATTCATTCCGGGCTGGATCGTGATCACATTCATACTCCACAACTTGGAGCACATACTTGCCATAGAACCAATGGATTCGTGATTACCTCCATTTTAAATTAATGATCCTCCCCAGCTCAGAGCGCAGAGCTTAGTGTGGTGAACTCGATGACTAATTATTACGCAATCCCCTAGATAAGGGTGCTGATAAGTCCTGAGAGTATGAACAGATAGATGTGCATTGCATTGCACAGGGATTATATTATTATTAGTAGCTATACAGTGAATGGGGTGTACAACCCAGAGGGACCACTCTAAACTGGATCTTGCTAATTGCCACGCATCTTACACAGTTCCAATGACCAACCAGGGGATCTGGACAGTGAGCAGCGGGAATGCCTGTGCTTACAGGAGCAGTTTATACAAGTCTGGTAATTGTAAAGAGGACCTGTGGTTTTAACTCGTGGTGGCAGGGCCTAGGGAAGCAGCTGGCTTGGAAATCAGCATCTCCTTGATGGTGTGTAGGAAAGGGTTTGCTCCCCACCCTGGCGGCTCGTGCTATTCGGCCAACTTGACTTCGTACTTGACTGATTCACGTATTTCGTATTGATGATGTGTATTAGGGCAAGTTCAGGTATCGACGTGCCTGGGAATTCAGTATGTCACGGAAATTCTAAGTGCAACCCACTTGAAATGGCGCTGATGATGGATACAGCATACCAAACAATAATATTATTATTATTTTGTTTGTTCGCGTTGACATCACCAAGCAAGCTTGGCTAGTCTTCGCATAAGCCAAATGAACTAAAGAAATGAGGGAACGAGCGAGGCCAATGAGGTGAACACACGCGTGCAGCGGCAGAGTAGGCAAAATGAATAAATAAACGAAATGTCAACTTCAACAATAGAACTGGAAACATTAATAAGAGTATGTAAAAAGTGTTTAACGCGCTACAAGCGATCATCAGAAAACAGTGTGATCTGGCATAGCATAAGGTGCCGTTTGAAGGCTGGCAATATGCAATGTACAGTTTATTGTCTGCCGACAAACATATCAACTAAGTCTGATCTTAAGCCTACGTGTACAGTTGAAAAAACCTGGTGTAAGCGACCTCTGGGTTTAGCGACCACCTGCTCTTATCGACCGTTTTTCCGTGCACCGACAGTTCTGCACAGACATTGCGGGACCTGGTTCTAAAGACCACCTGGCTTTAACGACCGCCTTTGCTTGCACCATGGGGTGGTTGCTTAAACCAGGTTTCACTGTACATCAATTGTGGGCGATGATATGTCATAGAGGATAACATGCAGATGTAGATGGAGATGGGATATGGTTTCCACTAGCCACCTGGTCACTATGGCTGCGGTTACCTTGACAAAGGAACATGACGCAGTCGCACTGGCTTCAGAACCTTCTCTCTCCTTAAAGACCGTGGTAGGCCGGTCACATAGGTGATGGTAGAGAAGACCACGATAGGCTTATTCCATGGGCGATGGCCAAAGAGGCCAGGTGTCACATCTACTATGATCTAGAGTGGAGGAGAGAGGAAACTATGTATGACATCATGCTTTTGGATAAATGTGTACATATTATAATGATGTCATGCTTTGTCTTAGCATTGCGTAGAAAAGTATTGTTTTGGGAGCCGGGGGCTGACGTTCTCCCACTCATTCCGGCTAGGAAGTGTCCTGGCAGCTCAGCTGAACTGGAAACGTTTGGGCTGGGTGTTTGTGGTCTTTCTGACTGGCCTGTATAACTTGGAGCTGTGCATGGTGGGATAGGTACCCACCCTTCCTTGCAATGAGCTGCTTAATTCTGTCACAGATCCTCTCAGCGGCAAGTGCTTGATTGCCCATTCCTAGCCTGTAGACCACACCACCACTCTACCAAGCATCGGAGAAGCCGAGAATGCAAGAGAAGGCTTGCATGCTATATCTATAGGGTTACTAATAACTAGCACCTCTCACTCTCAGGGAGATGCATGAGTGGGTGGAAGGTGCACCCCTGCTGGCCGTGGGGTTTCGACATCATTGCGGGATCTGTGCATGCATTTCCAATTGTATTTGGTTATACAGTGAAGGATGCACATGGGACTTGTAAGACATGCTCCCCTGGCCCAGGTCACCAACTGCAATGCACAGGGGGCTTGTAAGGCATGCTCCTCCAGGTCACCAACTGCAATGCGCAGGGGACTTCAGAGAGCTTTTTGCTCCCAGGTGTTCCCCTTATCCATAGCGGCTTGAGTGGCCATGTCACCTGAGCTGGTTCTGCTCCCCTAACTTAGTACCTCTGCGGCAGGTGGCTGGTTGCCTCATCCCAGTGGCCATCGCATTTGTGGGTTTTCTCTCTAGTACTAGTAGTAGTGGACAGAGTTTCCCTGCATTGTCGAGTTCTAGGATTGGGCGGACCTCCATGGAGCTAACCATTCATGATCCTCATGAATGCAATCCCAAGCAGCGGTGTTCTGACATCTACACCTCAATTAGTGGCTCTCTCTCTCTCTAGCTGCAGTGCTCTCTCAGGCATAAGTACATTATCAGTCACAGGGGTTGGGCTGATCATGGCTGACTGGTCAGACCTATTGGCCCTGCTTCCGGCTCGCACAAAAGCTTCTTTGTCTCACGTTTGGTTCTTGCTGGTTTTTTGCTTTCATTGCTTCACAAAGCTCTGGGCCCACGCAATCCGGCTTGTGGCAGCAAATGCAGCCAAACTCTCCAGTTCAAATTGTCTTAATGTGCATGCATTATTGCCAGCATCTAGAAGAACAGCAGAAACGTGTGGTTTCGAGGGATATGGTTGCTTGAAAAACAAACTACTATTTGTGTGGGAGGTCAGCTGTATATATTTTGACTTGTGGAGAGGTAGATAGGGGAAACCAGCGTGTGAGGCAATGTGTCAAGCCCAAGTGCGACTGCTTGAATTGCTGCAGATAGCATCGCGGTGACCACCATTTACCATTAAAGAAGCAACACTTTGCGGTCGGCACTACATTACGGCCACATCGGCCTGTGTGCAAATCATTGTCCAGTGGCTCTAACTACTGTTTGAAATGCCCTAAGGATGATGCTAGGTGGACACTCAGCTGAAACTAAGGCGCGCTTAAAGTGCTAGTAATGCCGCTGTTATGTCACCATGACAACCAACAATGGCAACCCTTGAGTTGATTCAGCATCACATACACATACATGTATGCGCCGCAAGTGTCTACTGCATTGCATACTACTCCGTGAGCGGCAGGTGATGACCTAGTGGAGAACCGTTCAGCTTAGCCATGGCCTCCAGGAATGGTGAACAACCACCGCAGCTGTTGCATCGTACCCTGGAAGCTGGAGAATAGACGGATTCTGCACCATTGCCCCCCCCCCCCCCCAAATACCGCCAAGATAGCACAGGTTGGCGCCTTGCCTGAGAACTGGCGATGCATTTCAGGAGGTACTCTCGCCCATGTTTGGCCAGTGCAGGCAGCAATTAGCCGGCTCCTGGAGCAGAGCCAGAAGTGAGTGGAGTCAGTGCTTGGGCGCAATGTAGAACTGTGATGGTCGCTGACAGTTGGGAAAGAGTTGGGAGGCTTGTTGGGCAATTACCCTGCATGACTTGTGCCAAGTCGGACAGGCATGTTTATTGGCCTCAGTAGTGCTGTAGGGGTGTTGTTGCTGGGAAGCTGCTGGGTAAGTACGATGATCACTGGCACTTGCACAGATACATACCCAGTATCCATAGCAATTGAGATGACCATTTAGTACATAATTCTAAAGCATAATATGCTGAAAGAGGGCGTTGATGTTGTGCTATTGCGCAACCCGAAATGTGCCCCCTCCTCCCCTTCCCCCCCCCCCCCTCCCCAGTGTAGTCACCAGACACCACAGAGCTTAAAACTCAGAGCTGCAACGAACTATGGCTAGCCTTGCTCCATTGTCATACTGTGTACTCCAGTCTAGATCTGCCTTCACTGGCATGTATCAGATAGAGCACTCTCAGGAGACTGGCTGCATCCTTGTGTAAAAGACTGTTAGATAATGTAATGTCCTGATTGCCGGTGTAAAGATGCTGTCCGGCCACTAATCCAGCAAAGTGCCACTGGACAATACAGCAGGCTGGTATTAGTATTAGCATACTCCACACTGCCATACGCCAGTACTGGACACCTGCCCCATACAGCCAATACTATCACAATGCTGAGAGAATTCCTCAGTGTCTACTGGCAGCTTCAATGGGCCACTACCATTTCTATGTGCATGTACATGAGCATACGTTCACACCTCTCTTGTCAACACCGCTGTCTAAACAGACCCTGGCTGTGAGTAATATGAGTAATATTCGAGTAGTGTTCCGGCTCTGTCACAAGGGCCTCATTCAGTGCGTACACTGCGGAAGATGGGAGGCAGCATGCCTGCTGTGAGATGAACACAATTGAGCACATGGCCCACTGGGCCGCCTGCATGTCCTTAATAGTGCACTGCCGGGATGACAGTGGTTGTACAATTGGGTTCCGCTTAAATGCCTCAAGTGGCCAGCTGAGAAGCTGGCCCTGTGTGTCTCACATGGCCTGCTACATGCGCATGGGAATGTTGTTTCGTGGAGAGATTTACAAGTGTCGGATCTTGTAAATCAAATTGCGTAACACTTAGTCTGAATTGGAGCCTCAGTGCTAGCTGCTGGTGCTGCTGGTGCTGCTGGTGCCTGTCACTTGAGTATCTGCACCGTGTCCGCACCCTGTGTTGTGGTGTTCCCGTGGCAAGTCTTGCACCTGCGACTGGTGTGGGCATCCGGTCAGTGTGTGGCGTGTGTGTGTGTGTGTGTGTGTGTGTGTGTGTGTGTGTGTGTGTGTGTGTGTGTGTATGTGTGTGTGCGGATGAACCTGCCAGCCGCCTGGCTGACAGGATGTGGGAGACCCTGCTGCGTCACTGTTGACATGCTCGGTGGCCCCTCATGACTCAGTCAGTGGCCCCTCATGACTCCGTGGCCTGGGTCACTGGCTGGCACATGCATGGCTATGGCTAAAAGACTCAGTAAAAGTGTGGCCAATTCAATAGCTACTTTAGCTAGTGCAGTCCATCGTATACATGATGTACCTGCTTAAGACATGCATTCTCCCAGCATATCGGATCCTCAGTGATCATCCATAGTGGGGACACCGGAACACAGTCACCAATGATTCCTGTCCTGTCCTTTTTTGGCTCTACATATTCCTCAAGTTTAATTAATTCCCAGAGTGCACATTATTTTTTAAAGCTGCACTCCATCTGTTCAAGTCCCACAGTAAATACTGATATTTGTACACCCCACCGTGTACTCTGCGGAAGGCATCCTGTTTGGCCAGTACCAATGGGAATTTATCAGCATTGCTCATTCCTGCCTATTTCTTTTTCTCGACATTCCTTGTTCCTGCGAAATATGAAAATTCCACCGTACTGTAGCCCTGGCATGCTTGTAAGCTTCAGGAACCATCGCCATAGCCCGGTCAGTGTCTGCTCCAGAGCCAGGTCAGCCAGGTCAGCGACCTGGGAGGTACTTGGACCGGTTTGGAAAAAGAATACCGGGTCGCCTGTGACCCTGTTGGGAAACACATTATGTATACATCAGGGAGTCCTAAAATATTTACAACTCCCTGATGCACATGCAGTAGCCGCATGTGGGAGTGATCCTTTCCTTTTAAACCAGACCGATGCAAGGATCCTGTGGATTGTTCAGATCTTGGACTACTCAGAATGGGTGGGAGGTGGGGGGGGGGGGGGGGGGGGTCCGTCACTTTAACCCAGACTGATACAATGGGAGGCGCAACATGCAGATGGCCTCCAAGCTTACTCCCGTTGTTGCCATGAGGTTCACTATGAAGTCCTGGATGACGCACAGTGGACATCTACTTGCACCTGTACAGAAACAATCACGACACAAGGCTCCTGTGCCGAAGGCTACTGTACCTCATGTGCAGAGTAATTTCGCAAGTCCAGGGCAACTTTGCTCTGTGTAAACAAGCACATGTGCATTTAATTCGTCCTGCTGTTGTGCGGTGCGATTCTGCAATTGAGTGGGACGATTAAACATGAAAATCCATGCACGAACACTAACGCTCTGTATTGGTGTTTATTTTATTTTTTTATTTTTTTAAAGTGAACACAAACCTACAAATCATGTTGAAAGACAAAAAGTACATTGGACTGGGTAGGCGCTATCCACAATGTCAGTTAATAGTGCAATGTGAGTTCTCATTTCTCTCCATGGTCTGTGTGCTGTGGTTGTTTGTGTGTTCACTGCACACACCCAGATCTGCACGCAGCAGAGCATATGCCAGTCATGGCACAGCAGCACTGCATGTACTGTCGCTCGGCCCAGGACCATGCCGACAACCGTCTCCGCATCTGCGTTGACTGCAGCAGAGGTAGGATAGCTAGCAATGATCTACGGCCATTGCTGAGCAAACTGTTCTTGTGGCAGTGACGAGGCAACTTGATGGTTGGAGATGAGGAGCTGGGGGGGGGGGGGGAATGGAGGGATGAAGGTGGCGATGGGGAGGGGGATTGGTGGCGATGGGGACGGGGGGGGGGGGGGAGGAAGGGGATGGAAAGATGGGACGTATGTGTGGGGGTGGGGGGGGGGGGTGGAGGTGGAGGATTGGTTGTGGGGGGGGGGGGGGAGATGGGAATGGAGGTGGAGATAGGGATGGAGAGATGGGAATGGAGGGACAAAGGTAGGGGAGAGGAGAGGAGCTGGGGAAGAGGGAGGGCTCGGTTACATGTACATGTACATTAACTAGACGCGTGGCCTATAATCCAGCAATGCATGATATCTGTGTTAACAGCCGCTGGAGGGTGTCATGTGACTGGGAACACAAGTTAAGAAGACAAATTAACTCCAGCAGGGATTTCTGCATTGCAGACTATCGAATCCAGAGTGCAAAGCTCCACAGCTGTAATGTCTCAGCATGCACACAACGCACGCTATGTAAGGCAATGCATGGTAGATCTAGAAACCCTGGGCATAGGAGAACATGCATTTCGCAGTAGAATGTGCTGGATCAGGCATGCATGATCAGCATTGGCACGTATAGACTGAAGGAGAACCAGAGTGGTCGCCACAACAGCTTCCTTGTGTGGCCCCGTTCAAATCTGATTACCCAGCTGCCATGCCTTACACACCTACATATGCACAGTCTGTTAGAAGACTCTGAACGAATCACCAAGAGCCAACAAAAGGGCCACAGCAACATGATACCATACTTGAGGACATTCATAATTCCTCAATCGGGAACAGCCGAAGTGGTGTTGAGACTGTTGACTGGCCTTGCAACTGACAGATTGTTTCCATTCCATGGAAATGTCATGAACACTATCAGAACCAGCGTAAGGGCTCCTTCTTTCTTGTGGTTGTTTTCAAATGCAAATCAGTGCTGCTATGAAAGTGTAATAACACTCAGACCTCGTTTATCCGGGCGGTCCGGGACCGGGCACTGTCCGTAACTTTGAAATGTCCGTAACTCCGAATCACATACATTTTGATGGGGAAAGGCCATAGATATGGCATATGACGTCACTATTTCCACAAAAAAAGTGACAAAAGAGTAGTAATATTTCCACTGAAACTCGGCCAAAGGGTCCCCGGTAGACCATTGCTACTCTTCATGTTGACTTGGAAGCGCGTCCAATGCTCCCACTTCTTCATGCTCACACATCTCTCTGACAATGAAAACATTTCTTCAAAATGATGCGATATGCTGTGCTAGTAAGATATTTCAAATCCATTAGCTCGAGGGAGCTGACAAAAAGGAAGCGCCTGGAGAAGAAAAACGACCCTAAGCCTTGGTTTTGGTCAGCGATGCTCTTCCACAAGCTTTACACATACACCACTTTACTGCGTACGAAATTATTCGTTCCACTCATTCACAGAGCAACCGGTCAGTACATGGGGTAGTGGTCTACTAGTGAATACAGTATACTCATGATATCCATTTTTTAATTTTTTTAAAACTATTATTCACAAACCCAACTCGTAAAACAAATAATTATGTGGACAAAAACAAACAACTACTGAGTAGGGGCTGCACTGGGCAGCGGTGATGGTGAGGTACCAGGGGCTCCACCGACCAAAGGTCTCGGCTTCAATGCCACAAGCACGCGCCATTGTACGTGTACATATTGTAGGAAATGCTCATTTCGCTAGAAAGTTCAAGAATCTATTTATTCATTTATTTCATATTTGTCTGAAGTCACTAACTAACTTACATTAAAATTACAGTCTTCTCAGATATTTATTTACCGGTTTTCATTCCGTTTGGCTATTGCAGACGCTCGTTTGTAGTGTGCGTCTCACACTACGTAACTGTTTCTGCGTACCGGTAACTTCTTCAGCGGACACAGATACGTGTAACGTGTGCACGTATAACTTGTTCTACATACGCGTGCACCCCTTTGTGTGCGCATGCTGTTCCTTTTTTGCTATGCTCTTGTAAAATGAAATCATTCTTGTTTTCGAGTTATCTGTCGTCCATTGCTTGGACTTCTTTGGAGCGAATAATTATTGAAAGGAAGAGTCAAGATGTATTCTCTTGTTGGAATAATGAGCATGAGCCTGATGTCAGTGATGAGGATATAAATTTAGTTAATCCTCCAGTTCCCACGGAATTCGTATGTTGAGAATTTCGTACATGGTCCTTCGAGCTTCAACACGAGCCCGAGAAATTTGATTTGTGATTATGGCCGAGACGGAGTCTGAGGATCAGCCAAAGACGACAACAGTGTCGGTCCAACGGTTAGTTCGATTGCGTGGAGCACATCGGTCAGCTGCCTCCAAATTGGTATCTAGAATCGATGATTTTGTAGAGAGGATTTCCTATGTTACGAGGAGCTCACCCGAGTGGCAAGGGGAAGATCTCAGCGTAAATGACAGAGAGGATTGTGCTTTGGACCTGAAGAAACTCCGGGAGAAAGTGGATTTGCTGGGGCGTTTGGACTCCCAAATTTTGGACGCCATCGAGGACGACGACATTGAATCTGAAATTTGTGATGCAGCGGATTATCTTATGAAGTACGAGTCCCGCATCGGCAGGGCTACGCGAGCCATTTCAGATGCAAGTCAACTGTTGGAGAATATCGCCAGTGTACGGGCTTCCCAATCCTCACAGCCAAAGTCAGAGTCACTGTCACCCGTTTCCGGAAAGGATGAGTGCTGCACAACAAGCAAGGCCAAGGGCAATCTGGACAGTCGGGAACCAGCTCCAGATGAGACTGGTGAGGACTCGCCAGCTGTCGCCCCGTGTGTCTCGCGTTCCAGTGTAGTATCTAGTACGAGTGCCAGTAGTGGAAGCAGCTTCCACCACCGGATGAAGCTGCCCAAGCTCGAGATTCCTAAGTTCAGCGGTGACATCCGAGCTTGGTCCTCGTTTTGGGACATGTTTGGGTCGGCCATTGATGGCAATGACACCCTGGATGACGTTGATAAGTTCAACTACCTAAAGTCCTTGGTAGTGGGAGAGGCACGAGAGGCAATTGCCGGATTTGCCCTGACAGGAGCCAATTACAGGGCTGCAGTTGACGTCCTCAAGCAACGATTCGGCAACGTCCAGGTCATTGTCGCCAGCCACATGGAGGGCCTCTTGAATGTTGCTTCTGTCACCAGCGAGGATGATGTAACTGGCCTCAGGAAGCTATACACCACCGTTGAGACACACATTCGTAGTTTACAGTCCCTCGGGATGAGTCGCGAGTCTTATGGATCCCTGTTGACGTCTGTTTTGATGTCCCGATTACCCGCAGAGTTCCGGCTCATTGTCAGCCGCAAGATTGCCGGGACTGAGCAGCATTGGGAGATTGGTGAGCTGCTATCGGCTGTCCATCTGGAGCTGTGTGCCAGGGAGCGAGCGGCACCGGCAGCTAAGCCAACCATCCCGATAGCCCAACCCAGAAAGTCCGCACCAGCCACAACGTCAACACTCTACACTGGTGCGCCTGAGCAACTGAAGTGCTTCTTTTGCAATGGTAGTCACACTGCCGGGAGATGCGTAACAGTGACGAATGTTGCCACCCGTAGACAGATCTTGAGGAAGCAAGGCAGGTGCTTCCGATGCCTCAAACGCAATCACATAGCAAAGACCTGTCCGAATGCATACTCTTGTGTCAAGTGTGGTGGGAGCCACAACGTAGCCATATGTAGTGGCGAGAGGCAGCAGAAGGCAGAGGTGAACACGCAGGCTGTTGCTGCGAATGCTTCCGTGGACCCTCGCAGACAGGAATCGGTATTGCTACAGACCGCCAAGGCCGTGGCTTATAATGTCACACAGTCCGATCGCAGCGCCGCTATCCGACTGTTGATGGACGGCGGCAGCCAACGGACGTATGTTACGAGCGCTCTCCGTGACGCTTTGCAACTGCCGGTCCTGGATCAACGTAAGGTCATCATCAAGGCGTTCGGCCAGGACAACACAACGTCCCAAGTAGTTGATGTAGTTCAACTTGGAATCCGAGTCCCCGACGGCGAGGACATCGCGGTACAAGCCTATGCTGTGCCGCTATTGTGTGACCCGATTACTGGCCAATCCATGCACACGTCAGTGGAGCGCTGTAGTCACCTCGATGGATTGGCGCTAGCCGACACCAGATATGACACAGGTACTCGATCAGTGGATCTGCTAATCGGCGCGGACCTCTACTGGACTATTGCAACGGGTAACATCATCCGAGGTGCCGACGGACCTGTGGCCATTGAGACAAAGCTAGGGTGGGTCCTATCCGGTCCAGCCACCGTACTTCCCACGCCAGAAGATACCAGTGCACTGGCCACGCACGTCTTCTCCGTCGAGGAAGAGGCATCAGCAGCAGATCGAGAGCTCACTGACTCCCTGCAAAGGTTCTGGGAAATTGAATCACTTGCAGACCAGGACAAGACGGAGTATGAAGAACTCGTTGAGACAATCGATTTCAACAATGGACGGTATGAGGTCTTTTGTGCACGCGCACATGTTGTCCAGGCGTCAGGGGCCCAGCCTCCCTGCCCATCCGGCCCGCCACACACAACAACGAAACTGAACTGGGAGTTCTACATAATTTCTTGACAAGACGGAGACGGACAGACAAGAAGACCGGACACGACGAGGTAAATTGAAAACTGAAGAAAAAGACTAACATTTATGGCAGCATACGAGCATGCGCGCAACAAAACACAACGTATGACAATGACGTAACCGTTACTTGGATCATGTACAAACTATACATGCAACCAAAACAAGTCAAAGCAGAACACAAAACAAACCAAAATAAACGAAAGGACCACAACAAAAAGAGCCATGAAAAGTCTTTCTACCGATACACAACATATTCCCCACCAAAGACCTTTTCAGGGCTCTACGAGGACCGCGAACACTGTGCCATATGCGGATACGCCGCAAGC